GATTCTGATACAGAATCAGAATCACCTATAAAAGGTGGGGGAGAGACCTGAGATTCTGCTGCTGATGTTGCCGGTCCTTGTATCACCCTGAGGAACTCTCATTTTGATATTACAGGAAAAGAAAATATCACCAACTTTACTAAACTGAAGGAGTTTGAGATATCTATAAATCATTCATTTTAACAAATCCATTTCAAAGACTGAAACTACCTGTAAAAATCAATTCATTTGTTCATCCAATCATTCATATATTCACATATGCAATATGCTTAGTCACATCATTTGGGAGAGAACAATCCACCCATTTTTTTCCAGCATATTCTTTGCGTTGTCCACTCTCGCATATGTTACCTCATTTCAAGATTGGAACAAACACTTGAAAAAATAAAATATAAGCCAGATTTATTAGATGTATTTTTCTCTACAGTCAAAAGTGTTGATGATGGTGGTTCAAAATTATTTCCCCTGGTATGGCTTCTATTTTCACGCAGATACTATTCAATCTCTCCTCCTGCTGTTGCACCCAGAAGATAACTTCACTTGGCCTCCTCTACTGACTTGCTTTCATTTTTTCTCTTGCCATCAAAAACGTTTTGGTTTCCCTCTGCATGTCCTAACTACAGTTATCAGACGAGTTGATGGAACTTGCTGTGCTTATCTTCATAAGTCCTTGTAGAAATGTCAGTAAATCTCTTTTGCTCTCTGCAGGCTGCATTTTTCAATCAAATTAATTAGTTTATTCATAGAGAAGAAAATCTTCTGTTGTCTTCTTGTATGTTCACAGTTTGATGTTTTGTCTTTTTCTTCCCTCTCCCTCACCTTCTGCTGCCCCCCCAGGGTATTCAGCATCATAAAACAAAACTCCTCTAAAAAGTCATGTATTCTACTCTTCCTAAGGTTTCTAACTCAAAAAAGTCAACAGACATTGTTTTGTTTTAATATGAAATCAACTGGACTTCTCTCATTTAAATCCCATATACACTATTACAGATTTGTAATTAACTGATAGCATGGTGGTGTCAAACTAGTTTGTGGCTACAAACATGCTACCAAACCTCTTTATTATATTAGCTTTTACTACATCATCAATTCCTATCAAGGAAGGGTATTATGGAGTAATTGAGTTTATGGGGAAGAGGCACACTGTACTCAGTTCTTCTTAACTTTGCATTCACAGAACCTACTATGGAGCATGCCACAGAATAATCTGTCCATAAATATTTGAGGACTAAATTAATAAATGAATGAGTGTAAAAATTGACAGCAGTAACAACACCTAGGCCTGGAGTAATGTGGTACAACAAGTCAAATAAAACTTAAAAGCCAGTACTCAGATAAAGACATCTCATCTAAATATGACTTTAGAAGAACTGGTAGAAGATGAAAGATCAACATATTTAGTCAAAGTAAAATGGATTTAGAAATGGACTTATTCACTTGAAGCAGATAACAGCTTGCAAATCCAATGATGAGGTGAGACTAGCAGTTAAAATAAAAGTAGTTATTTCTATTTTTAATAATTTCATTGTTGATAAGATTGGGAGGTTATTCTTAATAATTAGTAGGGTAAATATTCATAAATTTTATTTACAAATACATCTGAATTCCATTCTTTTACTTCTCATAGAAGATATCAACCTAAGAATTCTTGAATTTCTTTGATTATACCTAATACAACTGTTGGTGTGTGTTGTCAAGTCAACTGTGACTCATAGCAATCATTACGACCAAGTAGAATTGCCATATATGGTATCCTAGGCTGTAAACTTTATGGAAAGGAACTCTGGTGGCGTAATGGCTAAGGCATTTGGCTATTAACCAGAAGGTCAGCAGTTCAAACCCACCAGTTGCTCACTTCAAACCCCCCAGCTGCTCTGCAGAGGATGATGAGGCAATCTATTTCCATAAAGATTTGGGCATTGGAAACCCAATGGGTGTTGCTATGAGTTGGAATCAACTAGATGGCGGTGGGTTTGGTTTTGGTTTTTAGTTTTGATGGGGGAAGATCACCAGGATTTTTTTCTCCAAGGAGCTACTGGTAAATTCCAAGCACAAATTTTTCACTTTGCAGCTCAACACTTAACCAAGCACCACCAGGACTTCTTCCTAATATGACTAGACACACCTTAATTATTATTCCTCTTGTCTTTAAATCCAGGCTGAAGGAGGTATGATGACTTCTATATGAACTTATCCATATAATGTTTGGTAATGTGCCAAAATGAAGCTAACCATCACTATGACCATGATAATAGAAACTGAACAGGCTGTAATTTCTTTAAATTACTAAATAACCCTTGAAGTTTTTGTGAAATACTGATAACACCTTCTTGTAATAATTACTTTTTTGTTTCCTCTCCCCCCAAGATTTGTCACAAATCAAGACCATAATAGTTTGCATAACCCCTAATATCATTTAGAATTGAATAGGCTTTATGCATGGACACATACAAAGTTAGTGAAAGTGGTATGGAATTGTCACTGTTATTTTCAACTTCACAAGCTTTCTAAATTTGCTTTACTGAAATCTTAATTTGTGTATGTGTATTTCAACAAATTATCGAGAAAAGACTTATGTGCTGCAAGTGTTTCCACATTATTGTCTCCCTTTTAAAACTTGATCATAAGTTTTAGATAAAATGATGCCAGATGAAAAGGTGCCCTTCTTGGTAATCATTCTAAAAGCTTGAATACAACCCAATGTTTATGAATCTTCCCTAAGGACAAATCTTAGCAAAGTATTGATATTACTATTTTAGAATTCCCATCACCCAGTGTAATGGGGGTATGCACAATCACACATACACAATATATTTGTATGTGTGTATGTGTGCATAGTCTATCATCTAATGACAGATATGTCTTCAACAAGAGAATTTTAATTGTTGCTGTTATTGTAAGGTGCAGTCAAGTCGGCTCTGACTCATAGTGACTCTATGTACAACAGAACGAAACACTGTCCGGTCTTGTGCCAGCCTTACAATCCTTGCTATACCTGAGCCCATAATTGCATGCACAGTGTCAATCCATTTCAGTGAGGGCCTCCCCCTTCTTCACTTACCCTCCACATTACCAAGCATGATGTCCTTCTCCAGGGACTGATCCTTTCTAACAACATGACCAAAGAATGTGAGATGAAGTCTTGCCGTTCTCACTTGTAAGAATCATTCTGGCTGCAGTTCTTGCAAAAAAAAAGTTAGTTTTTCTGGCGATCCATGGTACTTTCAGCATTCTTTGCCAGCACTACAACTCAAAAGCATTAACTCTTCTTCTGTCTTCCTTAGTCATTGTCCAGCTTTCACATGCACATGAGGCAATTGAAAATATCATGGCTTGGTCAGGCGCACTTTAGTCTTCAAAGTGACATCTTAGCTTTTTAACATTTTAAAGAAGTCTTTCCTGAAGATTTGCCCAGTGTAATAGTTCCTCTGATTTCTTAACTGCCCTTTCCATGGGCCTGGATTGTGGATCCAAGTAAAATGAAATCCCTGACAACTTCAATCATTTCTCCATTCATCGTGATGTTGCTTATTGGTTCAGTTGTGAGGATTTTTAATGTACAGTAACAGATAAAAGAGTTGAAATTTTAATTTCAGTTTGATTGCACATTTTTGTTTGCAGCTCAGCTCAAACTCCAAATAACTGATTGATGACTATGAATAATTAATGCTAAGGTATTAGTCCTTTTGAAACGTGCAAGAGGAAGAGAAATTGAAAGTACAAAAATGAAGACTATGGTGCGCCTATGGGATGGGCAGCAAAAAGGGAAGTTGGGATTTATAGATTTTCGGATTTAGTCTGAAGTTCTCTCATTTAACATGCACAGATAGGTGCAAATGGAAGTTCTAATGTGAAGAGAGTGGGAGGCTCTCTATCTTATGATTTATGATGATAAATAGGTGGAATAAATTACTTGACCTTTGGGCATGTTGGGGGCTGGGGGAGCTTGATAGTTATAATATTACTATTATAACTCTCAACTCCAGGATTAGTTGCAATTATCAAAATGACCTCCCAGCAGGGGGAAGATGTCAATATGCATAGACAAGTATCTTCTGGTTTGGAATACAAATAGAGTTGTGAAAATTCTATCTTATATATGCCTTATTTATTCTTTCAGAAGATGTGAGTTTAAAAATGTGTTCCCCCCCCTTCCCTATTGCCACACTATAATTTAGTGCTGGAATAGCAATCCTCCCTGCATATCTAATGAGTTTCTTTGGTCCTATTTGAAAGCTTTTTAATCTTCATAAATAATAGGTAAGTAAACTTAAGGCTCTTGGACAATTTCTTTAGTTTAATATATTCAGATCCACATTTGGCACTTCATTCTTTTTCATTTAAAAATAAATCTATCTTGTCTCGATAGACTCTACATGAATACACGCATCCAGCATGATGAGATCTACTTGTTACCTTTGTAAGAAACATGCCGTTTTCAGAAATGTCTCCAAAGTTCTTTTTTGATTAAGTCAATATACAGTATATTCTTAAAATAATTCACAGCCATGCAATGCGTGCATAAGGATTTCCCAAAAAGAAATGAAAAATACTTTTTTTCAAGCGAATTTCCATAAACCGATGAAAAAAATCTTTAATATTTTCAAGAGCTTTTCCTTCAGAAGAGTAGTTCTCTGTCAACTGTAACTAATAGGTGATTTTATAGAAATGGTTTACTGGGCATGCATCCATGTCTTGTCCATTCACAGTTTAATTTTCAGAGAAAATGTAGAACATTAACTATGGCAAAAAAAATTGGCAACTCTTACTCCACAGTTCTGTAGATAACAGTCCACCTATCCAACATCCCCACTCCAATTACAAGAGTGATCATAAAAACATGATAGACATGAAAATTCAATTGAACTGGCCCTTGAAGAAGAGTTTCATGGATTGAAAATAAACTCAAAGTCCTGACTTAACCTTGAAGCTACATCAACATAATAGTAACATTCCAATAACTTGCCATTTGTCTTAATTAAAAACAAATAAAGACTTACTTGCTTTGTTTTTCCATGCTAGCTACCCTGAGGCATTCCCAACGTGAATTTAAGAGATTCATTTGTTCTTGTACTTCGGTTTCTTCATCTTCTGATAATTTTCCTGTTCCAATCAGCTGACTTCCCAATTGTAGAACATTACCAACCCGTCCCTGGTGGGATGTCAAATCCATCATGTATCCCTGACAGGAAAGGAAGTTAATAACAGTAATTAACATTTTAGGTAAATCATTAGGATTTTATTTTATTTTTTGCAATTTGAAAAACTGTAGCACAGTAAAAAATATATTCCCAGTATAGTATTTTAATTTTTATTCAAAGAAATTCCATACTGTTGTTAATATGAATCAAGACAAGTTAGACTAAAATTCAATTCAGTGGAGTCTGGTATGATTCTTGGATGCAGAATAGCTTTCTGCAGAGCTTTCAGACTTACAGGGGATAGGAATAAAATTGGGGCAATCTACTTCGGAAAAACAGCCCATGAAAACCCTATGGATCTCAGAGTGCGGATCCATGGCTGATCATGGGGATGGTGCAGGATTGGTCAGTGTTTTGTTCATTTGTTCATGGGGTCAACATGAGTCTGAAACCAACTCAGGGACAGCCAACACCTAAAATAACGTTATTTTAGGACACCGTCTGTGGAAGCAGACCCTGAGATAATGATTTTTTGTGCAATGATTTATTGAGGAAGAGCTCCCAGGGAGACCAGTAAGAGACCAAAAGAAGCAGGAAACAGGACAGGGAAGGAGAAGACATTAAGTAAGGAACTGATCTCAAGAAAAGTCTCCCATTGAAAACAGCCTAGCAGGATACCACAGGTGTGCTCTGGAATATAGCTTATAGGGATTTGACTATTCATTCTATTCTAGACATAAATCATAGGCAAAACAAGTTTCCTACCCCTTCAAAGGTTGCTCTCTAAAAGAGAACTTCAAGTGTTACCTACTGGAATCTAAGTATATCTGATGAACATTTATCTGTTTCCAACTCAAATGGAAACCTATATTACTAAAATAAACCAAAAAAATCAAACCTGCTGCCAACAAGTTGAATCAAAGTTAATCACAGCCTTGAAAGCACTGTGGAGTTCAGTTCTACTCGACACATTACTATTACCAAAACACAAGAATCTTATGTAATAATTGAGGCCAAAAATAGACTTGTGATTATGATAAATCATAGGCTTTGTTTTCTAAAGCAATGCTTTGTTTTACCTCATGAGTATGAAATTGTTCTTTCACTTCTTCTACATTATTAGAAATCTCTCCTTGTGCTTGCAAGGCATCCTCAGCAGAAAGAAGCCATGAGAGTACTTCTTCTAAAGCTGTTTGGTAACTGTCCAGGTTGACTTCAGTCTCCATCAATGAACTGCCAAGTGACTTGTCTTCAGGAGCTTCCAAAAGCTGAACAATAAAATAAATCAGGTGTTATACAATTAATAGCTTTACAGGCTATTCCAGCACATTAAACGATAAATTGAAAGAAAGATATAAAATGCTAGAAATGTCCACTTGCATTATCAAAGATGTGAAGAGCAGACACACACAAGATGGAAGAGGGAGCCTGCATTTTTACATCCTCACAAATATATGTGAACATTCTCAAAAGGTAGAAGAAATTCACACCAAATTAATATTTTACTAAAAGTCTTTTGGATTACTATAAAGAGTGAATTATTACAGCATCTCATCATGTTGCAGTTAAATGCTATGCTTTTTCATCCATGGGTTATTGTTTTTTAAGTACATATTTTCAATCTTGTGCATATATATTATTGATATCATTTTATACACATTTGCAATAGCATTAAAAGAAAAATACATATAAAAGGGAAATATGTCCTCCAGATTAGACCTAGACAATGAAATAGATTTAAAAAAAAAAAGTTTACAGATCAGTAGTTATTAATATGAAAATAAGTGGTTGAGGGGGGAGCAAATTTACAAAGAGCTACCTAGTATACATGAGTGGGGAATTACTAACTGAATATTAATTTTTATGGATTTACCCTTTATTTCCAGAGGTTCTATGTTTTAAGAAAGGCCTGGCAATCTACTTTGAAAAAAGTCAGTCATTGAAAACCTATGGAGCACAATTTTATTCTGACATAGATGGAGTCATCATCAGTTAGAATTGACTCAACAGCAACTGGTTCTGGTTTAAGTAGCAAAACTTTATCCTTGTTGTTGTTAGGTGGCACTGAGTAGGTTCCACTCATGGTGACCCTATATACAACAGAATGAACCACTTCCCAGTCCTGTGCCATCCTCATAATCTTTGTTGTGCTTGAGCCCATCGTTGTAGCCCATTTCAGTCCATCTGGCTGAGAGTCTTCTCCTTTTTCGCTGACCCTCTACTCTAGCAAACATGATATCCTTCTCTAGTGGCTGGTCCCTTCTGATAATGTGACCAAAGTAGGTGACACGAAGTCTGGGCATTCTCACTTCTAAGGAGCATTTTGGCTGCACTTCTTCCAAGAACGATTTGTTCATTCTTCTGGCAGTTCATGGTACTTTCAATAGTCTTTAAAGAGGTCTTAAACACTGTCTAAGGAGAAGTAAATTCTGACACATATGCTACCAAATAAGTAAATATAATTAGCCAAATGTTTAATGAAATTCCTAATACTTGTCTCATAATTTCTTCTGGGACATTAATGCTGAGAACAAAGGGTACAAAGTGCCCATAATTTTAAAGAGAAAATCCAGACTACATATGAAACAATTGCTAAAGTTAACCACAAAATGGGTTCTGCAACCCTTAATCCACTACTCAGTTTAAAGGTATATAAAAGAAAGGTTACTGATTGGAGAAATCAAGGAGACAGGTTTCCTCTGTAATGGCTGGAGTTCTATTCATGTCCATGCTTCTTCCCAACTCAAGCTTAGTGATGGAAACTTCAGGAGAAGCATATATCAAAGGTAGGAGAATTTCCAGGATGGGATAATGATTGCTAAACCAGGCCCTATGTTTCTACAGACTCAGAGGCAATGGCACCCATGCTCTAAAGTGACCAGTGGGAGCTCTTTGGATAACCTGATGAGTCTACTGCTATAAACTAGGGCAAATGACAAGGAGAAACATTTGACTACATAAGGCAATTCTGTATGTTTGCTTTTCCTCCCCTTGGGTCAAATTCTTGGGCTAAAGAAATTCTGAGAAGGGTCACACTCAAGACAGTAACCTGCTGAGTTAAGGGACATAGAGCAACTCTTTGTGAAGCTGAGCAAAGCAAAAATTACTAAAAAAGTTGTGAAGAGAAATCTTCTGTGTACACCAAAGATAGCAAACAAGCATTATGTTTTCTTTATTTTCAATTGTTATAAAAATACCTAGAACACAACATTTGCCAATTCAACCTTTTTCAGGTGTACAATTTAATGATATCAATTACATCAATCATGTTGTGCAACCATCACTCATAATCATTTCCAAATTTTCCACCACCACTTCACTCCTATTAGAATGACTAACATTAAAATAATGGAAAATAACAAATGATGGTGAGAATGCAGAGAAATTAAAACCATTATCCATTGTTGGTGGAAATGGAAAATGACACAGCTGCTGTGGAAAACAGTTTGGAGGTTCCTCAAAAAGTTAGATATAGAACTACTTACTATATGACTGACTAAGCACTGAGTCTTAATACCAGAGTTGTGCAAAGGAAATGAAAGACAGTGTAGAAAAATCCAGAATCTAATTTGAAAGGTTTATGATCTTGTCTTACTTGTGCTCTTCTGATAAATGCTCCAACTATGACATTATAATACTGTAAATTTTCCCCAATTGTAAACTCCTTTAAGATGAAAAACACAGTGACACTCTGGAGTGAGACTGTTCCATCAAATGACACACACTTGCCTCTTGCTGGAGAAATGGCATAAATCTCATCCTTGTAAGTCAAAAGTACACAACTCTACAATCTCAAACAGAGCATCAGTGTTCTGACAGGGCTATTCATATAGGAACCCCCCCCCCAGGCCATGACAGTTTTTGGAGGTCACAGGTGTATGATGTATCCCTTGTCTCCATCCCTAAATACTGGTAATAGTAAATATCAATGTCAATATTAATGGGAAAAAGTCACAAAAAGTTAGCCTGAGCCATGCATGCAAGCAGGGATGGCTTCATGGATGTGCAGCCTGAGCCATTAGTTACTCAAGGCCCTTTGCTCAGAAGGGCCTTGTTCTTGGTTTGATATTCTCCTGTTCCCATCTTGGAACTCTTAATTTTATATTTGAACTTGGGTTTTGTAATTGAAGTTCAATGGGAAGATGGGGTATTCACATTAGCAGAGGAGGTAAGTACAATATGTGTGTCTACTCCATCAGTGATTTTGGTGCCCGAGGAGAACAGAATTCTGATGCACCCACAAGGCAGGAGTGTTTAGCCTGTATTAGATGCTACATTTACAACTGAGTAAGTGAAGGCACTAACAGCCTAAGAAGCCAAACTTTCTCTTTGAACCAAAACTTGCTTCAAATATAGAAAAGCAATTAAAAAAAAAAAAAAAAAAAAAAACCTAGAGGCAACCAAGGAGCCTCACAACATCCTTTCTTACTCATGTTACTTTCCTGTATATGCCAAACACTTACTCTGAAACTGATGACATAGAAATAAAGGGAAAGAAGGAGCTCTGGTAGTGTAGTGCCTAAGGCACTTGACTGCTAACCAGAAAGTTGGTGGTTCAAACCCACCAACCACTCCTCGGAAGGAAGATGGGGCAATCTACTTCCGTAGTGATACTGCCTCAGAAACCCAAGGAGCAGTCGCTATGAGTCGGGTCTGACTTGACAGCACATAACAACAACAAGACAAACCACAGTTCCTTTCCTTGCTCATCAGTAAGCTGAAAGTAGAGAGTATTGGTAGAATGTGTGCATTTCAGAAAGTGAAAGCCAAATAGCTGAGTTGTGTGCAGTATCGCTATGTTCTGGTAAAAACAAAACTATACAGTTA